ATATATAATATATATATATTATATATAATATATATAATTATATATGTATATGCATTTACATATACATGTATGAAAATATATATGTATATGTATATATAAACATGTAATATATACATATATATGTATATGTATATATAAACATGCAATATATACATATATGTGTATTTATATATACATGTAAATATACATATATATGTATATATTTATGTATATATGTATATGGATGTATATATATATATACTTTAATATATATAAATATATGTGTGTGTGTGTGTGTTGTGTGTATGTGCACATATATATATATAATATATATTATATAATATATATAAATGTGTGTATGTGTACATATATATATATGTATGTATGTATACATATATACATATATATGTATGTGTGTATACATATATGTATATATAAATGTTTTTCTTTTATATCCTTTTTCTTTTGTCTTCTACATTTTCCTTTTATTTTCCTTTTTCCCTTTTTATTTAACTAAAGCAGTATTAACCATAAACATCTATCGGCAAGACCGATACATATTGATAAGTGGTAATTTAGTTTGAATATTAATACCGATACCGCTTCCTGTGTCATGCTGTTTTTATTGTTCTTGTTATTTTCTCTCTCTCTCTCTCTCTCTCTCTCTCTCTCTCTCTCTCTCTCTCTCTCTTTCTCTCTCTCTCTCTCTCTCTCTCTCTCTCTCTCTCTCTCTCTCCAGTACCGTCCGAATCATTGTCGTGTTCGGACGTCGTTCAGCTTTAGCTTTGTTCAGTTTGAAGTCTGAAACATTGTACAAGGCAAGCAATACACATCTTGTGCATCACTCGATGTACCGAGAGGATGGAGGAGAAGAAAGGCAAAAGAAGGGCCTTTTCTGAGAGCGAAGAGAATGATGAAGAAATGCTCGGAAAGATTGCCAGAAAAGGTAAACAAACCGGCGACGAAGCCGACAACATTGGCACGTCGAGGTCGGTGACGGAGATATCAACGATGTACAAATGGAAGCCATGGATGATGATAAGGGGGATGTTGAGTTCACCCAAGTAGTTAGTAGAAAGGAGAGAAGGAGAATGAACAGAGTAAGTCTGTCCGAGAACAGCGACAGCGACGCAGAATCACCCGAGATGACGCCGCTGCCAGGCGGTCGAGGTGAGGTAGGGCCACATCGGCAGTAATTAGGCCGTCATCTCCTTTTTTTTTCCAAACCCCGGACGTCCCAGGTTTGGGAGTGACGTCACAGATTGCCACTGCCTGGCGCAAAAGGTGCGGCGAAACTGTCCTACACTTCAGTCTAGAAACGGCGCCGTGGAAATAACATCCAGAGCGTGTATAAAATCTAACGGCTTCTCTCCCCCGCCCCTCTCCCCCCCTCTCTCTCTGTCCTCCCTCTTTCTCGCTCTTACTCTCTCTCGCTCTTACTCTCTCTCTCTCTCTCTCTCTCTCTCTCTCTCTCTCCTCTCTCTCTCTCTCCTCTCTCTCTCTCTCGCTCTTCTCTCTCTCTCTCTGCTCCCCCACTCTCTCTCTCCTCCCTCTTTCTCTCTCCCTCCCCTACTCTCTCTCTCTCCTCCCCACTCTCTCTCTCTCCCCTACTCTCTCTCTCTCTCCCACTCTCTCTCTCTCCCCACTCTCTCTCTCCCCACTCTCTCTCTCTCCTCCCCCACTCTCTCTCTTCCTCCCCACTGTCTCTCTCTTCCTCCCTCTTTCTCGCTCTCTATCTCTCTCTCTCTCTCTCTCCTTCTCTCTCTCTCCTCTCTCTTCTCTCTCTCTCTCTCTCTCTCTCTCTCTCCCTCTCTCTGCTCCCCCCACTCTCTTCTCCTCTCTCTCCTCTCTCTTTCTCCTCTCTCTCTCTCTCTCTCTCTCTCTCTCTCTCTCTCTCTCTCTCTCTCTCTCGCTCTCTCGCTCTCTCTCCTCCAAGTTCAGTTTCCATAAACATGAATACATACACACACCCCCTCTGTCTCCCTCTCCCTCTCTCTCTCTCTCGGAAATAAATATAACTATATAACCCCTACACGAAAACTGTTAAACGTTCAATCAAAATGTCACAGGACATAGGCATATCCATTCATAAATTCATATAGGGTGAATATATCATTGATTTATGCACCTACAAATAATTGGTAACAAAACAGGCATTCAAACCAGACATATTACACAGAAACAGGTCCGAGGATTCAGTACCTGGATTAACCTACCACAAAATATTAGATATGAAACATCTCCAATCTAATTACTTTCAAAGGGAAATGGAAAGAGTTTCTTTTGAATTGTCAATGACATCTAATAGTTAAATGAAAAGCCAAACCATGTACCTTTATTCTAATATGCGGCCAATTTATTTTATATCTTATTTTATAATTCTACTACGAATGAATTTGATATTATCTTCATTTAGTTTGTATTACTGTACACTGCCATGCACATGAACAAAGAAGAACCATTGCAAATAATGGAATTATTTCTTTCTCTCTATCCTCTCTCTATCATTTTCTTTCTCTCTCTTTCTCCTCCATCATTCTCTCCTCTCTCTCTCTCTTTCTCCATCATTACTCTCTCTCTCTCCTTTCTCCCTCTCTCATTCTCTCTCTCTCTCCATCTCTCTTCTCTCTCTCTCTTCTCTCTCTCTCTCTCGCTCTCTCTCTCTTTCTCCATCATTCTCTCTCTCTCTCTTTCTCCATCATTTCCTCTCTTTCTCTCTTTCTCCATCTTCATGCTCTCTCTTTCTTTTTTCCATAACATCTCTCTCTCTCCTCCTCTCTCTTTCCTCCATCATTCTCTCTTTCTCTCTCTTTCTCCATCATCTTCCTCTCTCTCTCTCTTTCTCCTCATTCTCTCTCTCTCTCTCTCTTCTCTCTCTCTCTCTCCCTCTCCTCTCTCTCTTCTCTCTCCTCATCATTCTCTCTCTCTTTCTCCATTATTCTCTCTCTCTCTGTTTCTCCATCATTATCTCTCTCTCTCTCTCTCTCTCTCTCTCTCTCTCTCTCTCTCTCTCTCTCTCTCTCTCTCTCTCTCCTCTCTCTCCTCTCTCTCTCTCCTCTCTCTCTCTCCCTTCTCTCTCTCTACATCTGGGTATGGTGCCGGTGGCAGTAAAGTTGTATTCTTTTTAAAATAATACTTGTAAATGGTATTTTTCTTTAAGAATATTTAACATATAGATATTTAAATTATTTTAGTGAACAAATGGTGATTGTGATTCGCAATATCCAGCAGAGAGCATTTTGCCTAGGTTTATTAGAAATAAGCAACCTAACTGGCATCTATCGAAATCGAGTTGGCGGGCATTGAAGGGCTAAGGCGACGAAACAGCGTCACGCATGCGCAGAAGCAGGGGGCGGAGCTAATTCTCGGCTAGATGATATGGCTCCGCCTCCACGAACTATGACGTCATGAGCCCGACGCGTCCGGCATTCAAAAAACCCTAACTCGAAGAGTTTGTTCGCGTCCGGGGTACAACCCGGGACGTGGGTCCGGGGTTTGGAAAAAAAGGAGATGACGGCCTATAAGCTTTTTCCTACCGGCATCAGAAAATCATATGAAGATATGGTAGAATGGGCACTTTGTCTTTAAGATGAATTAAGCCTAAACAGTCTGAGACTTCATATTGGAAATCGAGTTCCATACTTTGCTACAACATGCCAAGACATCGCGACCAAACTGACGACAGAGGAGTGGAACGGAATAAAGCTGCAGAGGCCGGAGAGTGGAGAGAAGACACACCAAGATTTCTCATCAAGGACTATCCCGCCTGTCATGCCCGTGGATTGGGTCGAGCGACATCCGCAGGTGAAGTGGGCGAAGAGGAGGATGAAAGGTGAGCAGAAAAGGTAAACAAACCGGCGACGAAGCCGACAACATTGGCACGTCGAGGTCGGTGACGGAGATATCAACGATGTACAAATGGAAGCCATGGGATATGATAAGGGGATGTTGAGTTCACCCAAGTAGTTAGTAGAAAGGAGAGAAGGAGAATGAACAGAGTAAGTCTGTCCGAGAACAGCGACAGCGACGCAGAATCACCCGAGATGACGCCGCTGCCAGGCGGTCGAGGTGAGGTAGGGCCACATCGGCAGTAATTAGGCCGTCATCTCCTTTTTTTTTCCAAACCCGGACGTCCCAGGTTTTGGGAGTGACGTCACAGATTGCCACTGCCTGGCGCAAAAGGTGCGGCGAAACTGTCCTACACTTCAGTCTAGAACGGCGCCGTGGAATAACATCCAGAGGCGTGTATAAAATCTAACGGCTTCTCTCTCCCCCCCCCTCTCCCCCTCTCTCTCTGTCCTCCCTCTTTCTCGCTCTTACTCTCTCTCGCTCTTTACTCTCT